GATCAAGTGATACCTTCGCAGAACGCTGTTTGGATTTTGGTGTGATCTTGGTTCTTTGCTTGAGCAATGGCTCCAGTATTGTCACACAACAGTGGAACCGCACCTTCTATTGAAGGAACCACACCAAGTTTAGTTAAGAACTTTTTCATCCATACAGCTTCACTAGCTCTATATATTCTGCTTCAGTCACTGAATCAACTACTGTTAGCTTTGTTTGGAACTTTTCAACTCACTGCACACACATTTAAGGTAAATACATAACCAGAAAAAGATTCTATCATCTTTATCTGAAGAGAAGCTTGCATCAGTATAACCTTCAAGTTTCAACTCAGAATCTCCATTAAATAAGGAATTGGTCTTTAGTTCTTCTTAAGTACTTAAGAATGGTCTTCACCACTTTCGAATGCTCCTCACCAGGATTTGCCTGATATCGGCTAGTCACTCCAAGTGCATAAAGCACATCCAGGACGTGTACATGTTCATGGTATACATGATAGCTCCCACTGCACTAGCGTATGGGATCCTACTCATGCGTTCTCTCTCTTCAGGTGTTTTAGGACAATCCTCCCTACTGAGAGAATTCAATCGGTAGATAGCCTCTTTTGGAATTATCCATTGTTTACCTCTTTAAGATGGTATCAATGTACAAAGACTGGGAAAGCCCAAGGCAGCTTCCTAGATCTATCTCTATAGATCTTTATTCCTAATATTAAGCTGCTTCTCCCAGTTCTTCATGGAGAACTGTTTCAGATAGCCTAATCTTGGTACTCTGCAATGCCGTATGTCATTTCCCTATGAAGCAATATATCATAACATCCTCTCTTCAGAGAGATCATTGAACGTGGAGACGTCGAGATTCAAAAAGGTTGAATGGAAAAGAAATAGCTGCAGACCCATTCACTAAAGCTCTTGACGCAAAGGAGTTTGACAAGCACAAGTGGAAATTGGGAATGAAATACCAGAGCGATTGGCTCTAGTGCAAGTGGGAGATTGTTAGGGATATAGTAGATATGCCCTAGATCCAATCTCATATTTGATGATTTGAACATATTTTTGTGAAGGTTATTTGATATAAAAGTATATGGCATTCTTTTATCATAGTCATTATTAATTGTTTGATTAATTTGATAAGGTCCTTGATTAAATTTTGAGATTTGTCATCGTGATAGAGATCATGATTATGAGAGCAAAGTCTCTTACAATTTAATCTAAATTTTTTCTTGATCGTAGGATTATTAATTTGGACACTCGTAATCCGGTTAGATCAATATTTATGTGATCGTCTTTATGGGATAAAGATTAGTTGATCTCATTAACTAAATTGCATAGATAGATGATGCATATAGAGATACGATCATTGAACCGACTCATTGGATAATTCCTAATGGTTAGAATTACCATAAGTTGTCAATAGGATATTCTCTTGAAGAATGTGATGTAAGAATTTCCTTTGACCTGAGACCGTCATAGTAATTGACAAGTTATTTATTGTGCTTTGATACTAGACACCTATGGCCCTAGGGCGACAGTTGAAAGGATATTGGGTATGATTAAATACTTATAGAATTAGTGATTGATCAAGATGGAATCTGTCAACTCTTGGTAATGAGTTTAAGCTCCATGTTGTCATGAATTATAAACGACCAAACTAAGACCTTGGCCAGGGCAATTGAATGAAAGAAGAAATGAGTTTCTTAGGTCATTCGATGGTCGATTATATTTGACATGAACACATAGTTAGTCACCTATTAGGATTTGACAGTTGAACCATATCCTAGGCTGACTCGGAGCTATAAGGACGGAAGGAATTAATACATTATTCTTCTACTGGTTCTTGAGAGTAAATTGTATACTTCATGCTATCCGGTCGTTAAGGAGTGTTGCTAGACGCCACCCTTGATTAGTATATTAATGTGATCAATTTACTACCGGTTTAGTATTGAACCTATGGGGTCGCACACTAACGAGTGTTCTGATCTTTGCTAAAGGATTAATTAACTTATTATTTGATAATTAAATTAAGGAATTTAATTAGTCAAATATATTTAGTTATTAGTCCAAATGAAATATTGTTATATTCTTTGCTAGCACAGAGGATATAATTAATATTGTAAACAAATTGAAGTTTTCTATTTAGAATAGAAAATTAAATTATCTCTTGGTTGAAATATATGTGTGATATATATAATGAATATTTACATATAAGATATGTATATATAAATGAAAGGTTGATTTAGAGGTATTAGTGAATTCCAATTCATGAATTGAATTCACGTGTTAAGTCCACAAAAGGGTCTTGTCGGCAGCTTAAGGTCTTAGACCTATTTGGAATGTGATTCATATATTTTCCATTGAAAATTATGAAAGAAAAGTCCAATTGGAACTGGACTAACAAAGAAAGTCCTAAAAGACGTCGCCGACCTATACGGAATGGGATTGAAATTTTCCCATTGAAAATTATGAAAGAAAAGTCCAAATTCCATATTTGGTTAAGTCACGTTTTTCATTCTGTTTGAACAAAATAAGAAAGAGATGGTAACTGATGTGTGTATATATATATATATATCTATATATATATATATATATATATATATATATATATATATATATATATATATATATATATATATATATATATACACATGTCGTTAAACACAAGAGAAGACAGAAAGGGACGGAAGTTCATGAGTTGCACAAATATTCAAGAGATCATATATTTTTGACAAGGAAATTGTTTTCCTTGTTCCGTTCATTTATAGGCTGAATCTTTGAGAAATATTTCAGCACAAGTTTTTTGGTTCAATTTGTTCGCGGATTTCATTGATCAAAGAGTTGATAGCAAGGATCGGTTTCGGTGTGGATACACATAGAGTCTTCGCACTATCGAAAAAATTTTTGAAACGAGACTCTCTTCACCAGGTACGTCTTAGATCCGATCTTTGATATGTAAATAAATTTTAAACACAAAAAGATCTGCCTAGTATTGTTATTATTTTCCACTGCATGTTACGAACACCTATACGCAATCCTACACATGTTACAGTTGAGGCATCTCCACACCAACATACCTGCAAAATTGCCATCCCCTGCTGCCACGACGTCAGGTAATAAACCTTCTTGTCTACAAACTCTTTCCATCGTTGCACCAGAAAGTTGCAAGAAAGATGTGCTCGCCAAGGCTTGTCATATCACAAAAGTTGAGTATTCGAGGGCAAATGGCGGATTTTCTTGAAACTAAGGGTGGATTCAACAATCTTGAAGAGCTAAAGTGCCTGGAACATCTGAAACTGTTGAATGATGCTCCTCACATGAATAAAGCGCTTCACCTCCCTCCAGCATTCTTTAGATTTTTGCGCACATTGAGGAAGTTAACTTTAGCAAATACACGGTTTTCTTGGAGTGAAGCGACTAAATTGGGGCAGTTGGAGTCCCTTGAGGTCCTAAAATTGAAAGAAGATGCATTTATTGGTGATTCTTGGCTGCCGGAAGTGGGAGGTTTTAGCGAACTCCACGTTCTATGGATTGAAAAGGCAACAGAATTAGAAACTTGGGAGGCTTCAAATCTTAACTTCCCTGTACTTAGGCACCTAATTCTTATCTCCTGTGATAAGCTCAAGGATGTGCCACTTGGGTTGGCTGATATACCTAATCTTCAAGAGATGAGGCTGGAGAACACAAGCAAAGCGGTCAAATCTGCAAAAGATATACTGGAAAACAAGATAACTAAAAGCATCAAATTCAACCTCACCGTATTCCCTCCTGAACCTGAGTCCAAGGCAGCACAGTGAAGTTGAAAGGTCAGTCAAATTCATTTTATCTTGAAATGATCTATTACTGCATTATAGTCTATACTAAACTATAGACTGAATCATTTTATCTTCATGTGTTCATTATCCATAGAGATTGCACAAGACTGAATCTATCTATCTCTACATAATACATTCGTACAAATTACAACGAGACTGATCCATAAATTCCATTATTTAAGTTAACTTTTTGGCTCAAATTCAGCATTGCACAACATAGGATCCAGGTGTCCTTTCTATCACCATCTTAATCATGATCATTCAGTTATTTTTTGTGTTTGTTAATCATATGTTCGATAATGATCACTATTATATTTTCTTTTCTTTTTGTTAGTTTTTTTTAACACATTCTCAAATTTTTCTTTCCTCTTTTCTGTAGGAGAGAATCAAGGTGTAACGATCCGACCAGTCGTTTTGAGTTTTTGCACTTTGATCGTCAGTTCTCGGGCATGACTTGTCCCGTATGATGTATTATGACTTATGTAAATCGTTGGTTTTGGTTTTCAGGGTAATCGGAATGAATTTGGAAGAACAGTTCTCAGTTCGTAGCTTGAAATTTGAAAGGTTTGACCAAGATTTAACTTGTTTGTATGTGATCTCGGATTGGAAATTTTATGATTTGGTTAGCTCAGTTAGGTGATTTGGGACTTAGGAGCGTGATCGGAATGCATTTTGGAGATCCGTGGAAGGTTTAGACTTGAATTGGCGAAATTAAGATTCCGGCATTTTCTGGTTGATAGGTGAGATTTAGATATAGAGGTCGGAATGAAATTCCGAAAGTTGCAGTAGTTCCGTTATGTCTTTTGGGATGTGTGTGTAAAATTTCAGGTCATTCAGACGTGGTTTGGTTGGGTTTTTGGTCAAAAACGTATTTCGGAAGCTTTTGGGATTCTTAGGCTTGAATCCGACATGTTTTGGGTAATTTGATGTTGTTTGAGGTGTTTTGATGATTGGAACAAGTTTGAATAAGGTTTTGGGATATGTTGGTGCTTTTGGTTGAGGTCCCAGGGGCCTCGGGTGAGTTTCTGGTGCTCAATCGGATCATTTTGAGTCAAGGAAAATTGCAGAAAAAATGATTCAGCTGTTGCAGGTGTTTTGGTCTTCGCGTTCGCGAGAGGACCCTCGCGTTCGCGAAGGGCCAGGTGAGGAGGCGTCAGGTTTGGCCTTCGCGTTCGCGAAGGGTAGTCCCGCGTTCTCGAAGGGCTGGTTTTGTAAGCATCGCGATCGCGTGAGTCATGGTCGCGTTCGCGTAGGTTGGTGAGGCTGAGGCATCGCGTTCATGCTTGTGGTGTCGCGTTCGCGAAGAGGAAATTTGGTCAACGGAATTTTGTACTACGCAAACGCGAGGCTTTGACCGCGTTCGCGGAGAAGGATTTTTAAATGCTGGGCAGAATGTTTTAAAAGGGCTATTCCGCGATTTTGAGGCTAAGAACCTCCATTGTTGGGCGATTTTGAAGCTTGGGAGAGCTAATTGAAGAGGGAATTCAAGAGGGTTTCATGGAGGTAAGATTTTTGGACCCTAAACTTGTTTCTATGATGAATTTTATCATTGTAAGCTTGAAATCCATGGAAATTAAGCCTAAAAATTGAGGAATTAGGGCTTGAATTTGGAGAGTGTAAATTTGGGATTTGAGGGGCCATTTGAGGTCCGATTTTGATGTTGTTGATATGTATGAACTCGTGGAGAGATGAGGAATCTAATGAGGTGAAAATTTCTGAGTTTCGAGAAGTGGGCCCGGGGCTCAGGTTTTGCTAATTTCGGGATTTTTGGTATTTTCCAATTGTTTTCGCTTGGGTTTTGTTCCCTTAGCATATTGTGACGTATTCGTTCTGATTTCGGATAGATTCGACGCGTGTGGAGGCCGATTTGAGGGGCAAAGGCGTCGCGAGCTAGAGATTTAGCCGGTTCGAGGTAAGTAATGATTGTAAATACTATCCTGAGGGTTGGAAACCCCGGATTACACATCGTTGTGCTATGTTTAGGTGACTTACACGCTAGATGACGAGCGTGGGGTAGAGCACCGCTGGGGATTGTGACTTAGTCCATCCCGAATGATTATTTTAATGCGTATTTGATAGCTAATTGTTAGATATTATTATATTTTGGGTTGTACGCCATATTTGGGGCCTTGTGCCGACTTGTTGAGACCCTTAGGGGCATATTTACTATTTTTCCCCACTCTAATTGTTTGAAAGCATATCCTCAGTCAAGTTTTACCTGCTATTGCTTAAATCTGGCCTTATCACTATATCCTTGAAAATGTGAAAACTGTTTGGGCTGAGTTACTTGTTTTACTGATGGTCCGAGTGATCGTGAGTTGATGACTGAGATAGACCGAGGGTTTGATTGTGAGGTTGATAACTGAGATAGACTGAGAGCCTGATGGTGATGTTAATGTTTGAAAGAGGTCGAGTGCCTGACTGTAAGGATTATACAAATCTATGGATCGGGCTACACACCGCAGCAATATATATATATATATGTGTGTGTGTGTGTGTGTGTGTGTGTGTATATATGGATCGGGCTGCACGCCGCAGCGATATGTTGGATCGGGCTGCACGCCGCAACAATATAGCGTTTGGGCTGTAGGAGCCCCTCCGGAGTCTGCACACACCCAGTGAGCGCAGTCGACTATATATATGGATCGGGCTGCATGCCGCAACGGTATATAGATCGGGCTGACGCCGCAGCGGTTACTATATGGTACCTACTGAGTGTGAGTGCTGAGTGTGAGCGCTGATTGGTAAGAGTTAAGTCATGAGTGACTATATATATATATATATATATATATATATATATATATATATATATATATATATATATATATATATATGAGTGATGCTTTGCCCGAGGGGCTTGTTTTTATGAAATTACTGTTTTCACTTCTCCTTAAAGTGAGTCTATATTGAACGTGTTGAACNACTGCTTTCACTCATCTTAATACTGAGCCTCTGTCGAAAATGTTAGATAAATGTTTTTAAACAACTTTCATTTAACCTGGGGTTTATGAGATGTTCAGAATTTAATCACTGATTTGGCGTTGTTATTTCTACTGAGATTTTCATGTTATGAGGTGTTTATGATTCCTGTTTTGCCGAGGGGCTGTTTACGAACTATGTTTTTGCCCGAAGGGCCGATTATGGTTTTCAGCTCTATTATTAAATATGGTATTAAACCCCTACTGAATCTGTCGGAAGGCATTTTGAATGATTTTTTTTTACTAAAGCTGGATTTTAGAAGAGGCGATTGACTCGTATTCTGATTTGGAAAGCCTGTTGTGCTTACTGAGCCTAATATAAATATGGATTCATTGTTTCCTACTGCTCAGTCTTTATTTACTGTTATTACTTACTGGGTTGGAGTACTCACGTTACTCCCTGCACCTCGTGTGCAGATTCAGGTATTTTGGAACCCGGTAGCGGATGTTGGATGCTCAGGCGGAGCCATTAGAGTTAGCAAGGTGGTTGCACGGCGTTCGCAGCACAGCTTCATTCCTCTCATTTTCATTTCTGTACTTAGTACATTTTTGACTGTTTCTGTTGTATTCAGACCTTGGTAGATGCTCATGACGAGTGACACCCCGATGTCGGGCTTGTATGCTATTTCCGCACTATTTATTTAGACTTATATTATGAAGCATTTGTTTAATTAAAGGCTTTGAAATGGCTATTAATGATTAAAGGGTTGAAATGGGTGTTGTGTCGGTTGGCCTTGTCTTCATGAGAGGCGCCATCACGACCGGGCCGGTTTGGGGTCGTGACAAGTTGGTATCAGAGCCTAGGTTACATAGGTCTCATGAGTCATGACCAGGTTTAGTAGAGTCTCGCGGATCGGTACGGAGATGTCTGTATTTATCCTCGAGAGGCTGCAGAACCTTTAGGAAAAGCTTCACATTCTTGAAATTCTTATCGTGCGTCCTTTATTCAGCTTGAAAAGTAACTCTTGAAATTCCTTCCACGTGTTTGTGTGCGCACATGAGCTCTGGGTATCAGATGTGCATCGATGGCTTGTGATTCCCCGATCGAGGGGCGAGATGTGATCTCTATGTGCTGATGTTAGGACAGTCTGGAGGACTCGAGGCCGGATTTTTGCCTATAGCTTGAGCACCGAGGTGATGATTATGTGAGCACGTGTTTCTGGATCTATATGTTTTGTTGTGTCCCGATTAAGGGGAGTAATAACTGGTTAGTACGTGATGAGGGTGATGTGACTGCGAGATGTATTCGTATGATTTGGAAGCGACGAGAAGGGTCTGCTGGAGGATAGAAAAACTATTAGGTGTTTGATTCCCGTCGTGATTCGAGTTTTAGCCCCGAGTTATGGGCGTGTGATGAATCTTTTCATGTTTCCTAGTTGGGAGTGAAGTAAATTTCATGTTGCGGTATGAGTTCAGACTCAGGAAGATTAAGTGACTGCGTAATGTTCATGACGGTGGAAGGCATACATAAATGTTAGTTTGAGGCAAAGCAGGCGGGTTATCTCCTGCGAAGTGTTCTGGAGTTGTGTGATCCTTATGTTGACGGTTAGAAGATCTTAATTACAAGTGAAATATGTAAGCTGCAATGTGAATTTGAGCTGCTTAAGGGAGTGGGTTTAATTGTTATGTAAGCAAATGCGAGAGTTGCAGAAGATATGAAGTACCAGATGGTCTGGGTTCCAGGAGCTTATGAAGGATTGAGTTAATCTCACTGTGGTATAATGGCAGCAATTAAGTATATGCGTTATGGGTTATTGTGTGTGTGTTGATCTATGGCTTCGAGCCAAGTGGGGGAGTTTGCTATTGATTAGCTGATTGCACGGTTATGTGCTATGTTGGTTCCAGTTTGAGGCGTGCTGGTGAATCAGTTATGGTTTGCGGAGATTTAGCCCGAGGATAGCTCGAGTAAAGGAAGAATTTTCGACTAGGGTAAGGTTACATCATGCTTCATAGGTGTTTGAGAATCACGGAATGTCTTTGATACGCTCAAATTACACTTTTAAAATTGTGTAAGGCGGTCGATGTCAAATATAATAACCCAACAAGGTTGGGGTCGAATCCCACAGGGAATAGGTGTGAAAAGGTTACTGGGATAGTGTGTTACTCGACTAAAGCCGTAATCCTATCCAGTTAACGGTAACAAGAGTGTGAATTAAGAGTGACAAAAGTATGAATTTAGTTTGTTTTGAAGTAACAACCGGTTGGAATATTGAAGGTGTAATTAATAAGATTAAAGAAACCAAGGTTGTGTCCCCTTTAATGAAATGTAATGCTATCGGTGTTAATATGATATATTTCTAATGGTTGGTCCCTTTGATATGCAAATGATGTCTAAGCAACTACCCAATATTTCCCAATAGTTGGGT